TTATGTATGATGTGAAGTCAGTCACTTTTATTTAGTCTTAGTGGCATCTGTTAATATGACTATCATTCTAAAAACATATTCCTTTGTTTAGGTCTCAAGATGTCCAGCCTTGCTGTAGAACACTTACTCCAAGAGATGTCCTAGCTTGTACAAGGCTCAATTCACATCTTTCTCCACAGCCTAGAGATCTATCCCTACAGAGATGTAGGGAAAGATATGAATTGAGCCCTTCATGGGTGTCGTTGCAGTCATCACAGAATACCACTGGAACACAGTGCCAGGCAGTAGGGGTCAGGTAATTGACATTTAAAAACAAGAGTCTCACAGTATAATTTTTAAGCAGTTTTTAAAAATGAAATGACATCAGAAGAATTGTATAAGTTTAGGAAAATTTAAGGAAAAAGCCTATTTATTGCTGATTATTAAAGACTATATATTTAGGCAGTGAGCCTTGAAAACATGTGAAGATCATTTGAGGAAACTGGCAGTTTTTAGCCACCTAGGCAGCTCAGTGGTGTAGTGCTGGACCTGGAGTCAAGATCTGAATTCAGATCCAGCCTCAGACACGTACTAGCTGTATAATAAGTGTGGTGAGTCACTTAACCTTGCCTGCTTTAGTTTTCTTACTTGTAAAATGGTGATAATAGCACCTCCCTCCCAGAGTTGTTGTGAGGATCAAATAACATATTTGTAAAACATTTTCCAAACTTTGAGGCACAATATAAATGCTAGCTATTATTATTTTGAAGAAAATTAGACTTAATGGAAATATGATAGGTGCTTTCAAGTACTGAAAGAGGTGTCATGTGAACTTAGTTCTCTGTGACTCTGATAAGAAATAGGAACAGAGAGGACTTGGGTTTGTTGTAGGGAAAATGTTTTGTAGTGATGGAGACAGCCAGAGGTGGTCTGCAATGCCCCAAAGGGTAGTGGGCTCCCTATCAGCAGATTTCCAAGGAAAAACTAGACGACAATTTATTTGGGATATTGAAACCTTTCTTTACTGGTATATGTTGGGACTAGATGGCCTCCAGGTCCTGTAACTTTTTTAGGAAAAAAGGAGTAAAGAGGATCTTATCCCAATTATATTGGCAAATTTTTGTGTCCCACAAAGGCAGTGTGGTCAGCATAATGGAATCACCTTGAGATGTGCCATTTCTAAAAGTAAAAGGAAGTGTTTTTTTATAGCATCATCCCTATCACTATTTACCTTCATTGCATAGTTGCCCATATATAGTATCAGCTTGATAGCTCTCTGTTGTATTAATCAAATTGATCTTTATGGAAGACTGTACTTTGTCTATTTATATTAAATCACGTATAAATGATTTAATATAAGTGAAAAGATCCCTTGATTTACTTATTAAACTCTGGGCCCAATTTTTTGCTTTATTTAAGGGAATAATCTATAAATCTTACTAATAATAATGATTTTCATTTCCCTGTTAGATCTTATGGCAAATATATTGAAGGGCAGCAAGGACTAGACTCATTATTAAAAGAAAACCACAGTGATGTTAGTACTGTGGAGCATTGTGCTTCTGAAGCCATCCTTGAATTTCCTTCTGAAATGCATGGCCTGTGTATTGATGCCTCACCTTTCTTAAACAAAGATCAAGAAGCCAAGGTAGGGAACATATTCCTAGCAAAATGTTAAGTGTAATGCATACTTTTCCATACTTTTAGCTGTATTTGTAGAAAGTACTTATCTTGGAAAATGTTCTGTTGTACCTTAATAATTGGCATTAAGTAGGAGTCATAAACTCTTTGTCCAATATTTGGTTCTGCTGCTGATTACTTAGGCAACCTGAAGGACAGGAACTGCACCTGTTATCTCTTTAGGACAGAGAACTGCTGCCTGAGGAACCTCTCTACCATTGTAATTAGGCAGCTTCTAGTGCTTCAGGGTTGCCTGAAGGATTTAAGTGACTTGTCTAGGGTCATACAGCTTGTATTTGTCAGAGATGTGGGACTTGAATTCAGGTCTTCTTGGCTCCAAAGTTAGCTCTCTTATCTACTAATAACCATGCTGCTTCTCCTTAGTAATTGATTCTGAAATTTGATTTATTTGCATGTGAAATGTTATTAGCATCAAAAAAGCAATCAGAAGACATACTGGAAGTTTACAAGCCTCCTGGACTAGGACTTAGTGGTCTAAAAGAAAAATAGGTGACAGGAACTTAGTGGTTCATTAAGAAAGTTAATGAGTCAGGAATGCTGTGGATATTACCTCTTTTTATAAAAATTTAGAAAGGGCTTCAAAATTCTTAAACTGGTTTGAGCAAGCACAGTGACTAAGGAGCATATTCCAGGGGCCAGTCGAGTATGCTAAGTTTGTGATTCTTCCAGTGCCAAATAATATAGGTACAAAATTCAGCTTGGTCTCCCTGCCAGAGGAGTTGAAAGGATTAGAGGATTATCTTTCAGCCTTCCAGCTTATCAGGGAGAACAGTATTACTTGAAAAAATGGAAGAACTGCTTTAAGTAGAGGAAAAAAGAATCCCAAGAGGCAGAGGTAAAATGGTTAATAAAATGTGACACATAGAAAGGATAAACAATTATACATTACATATTAGCACATATTATGTAATAAGTTTGAGTCTTTTCCCCTAGAAGACTGATCTGTACCCCTGGAGAAGTTGCAGTTTCTTCTGCTCAAGTCTTAACTATATAAACTCGTCCATTTGGTGCAAAATAAAGTTGTTTGGGTGGGTGGGATGTGGGGCGGGGGGGGGGGGGGCCGGTGCTGTGTGCAGTGGCTGTAGATAGAAATATGTTAATAGGTGGGCTGTAGTTACTCTGAAAGAATAGTGGAACAGCAATGGGAACCTGGGAATAGAGGTGCGATCAGAGAAGTGAGTAGCAAAGTAGCCTTTACCCTCAAGAGGCCCCTTCAATTCACCTCCCACCCCCACCCCCACTGTGTGCTCTGTGGAAGGAGTACGACCTACAGCTCCTACTCTCCTGGAGAAAAGATCCAAGACCTACAGTTAGTGTTACTCAGGCAGCCTTACGTCGTTGACCTGATGTAAACAGGCAACTGCACACTGAGCTCTGTTTCCTTGCTTCATGATGTATTTTTTCAAGGATCAGCAAACATTTACCTGGAGTAGTTAATCTTCCCTTTCTCAAAAGAACCTAATAAAAATTCTGTAAAACTTGACATAAGAATTTAAACATAATTAGAAATAACTCCACTTAAAATTGTATTTTTTCCCTTTGCTTTTCAGTCAGCATGGTGGGAACGACGGGCTTTTCCACTGAAGGATGAAGAAGTAGCTTTCTTGTGCCAAGATGAAACACAGCAGGTTGAAAGGCCAAGCTCAGCTTTCCCTGGTGAAGTCTTCTGTAGTACTGTGTCAGATCACAGTCATCCTCCAAAAAAGCAATCAGGAGACAGGATGGAAGATTACAAACCTCCTGGTCTAGGACTCAGTAGTCTAAAGAAAAATAGGTGACAGGGAACTTAGTGGTTCATTAGCTAATTAAACTGGAGAAAACAAGGCAAGCCCCTTCCCCTCAACCCTGTTCAACAACAAAAGAAAACCCACAATTCCAATGCATTAGAGTAACAGCATGTAATGTATTAATCTTTCTTGCTAAGAAACAGGTTAAAAATTAAAAAATGACACTTTCTTTCCTTCTTGAACCACAAGAGAAAATAGTTCTTTTGGTCTCCAGACCCCAGGTGCAATAGACATTTGATGTTATTAGGCAAGGCCAAATCACTGGCACCAAGAAAATGACCTAATTATTTCCTGAATTCTGGTGTCAAATAGCCTGCTTTTTGGTACTGATATTCCCCCTCTCCCCCCAACCCTTAAGATGTACTATATGGTCCTGGTGTGTTAGATTATAGCATAATGGGTTTTTTTTTTTTTTAAAATAACACTGAACTCATCAAACTGCCTTAAATATACTAAAAGTACTGTTATGCCTACCAACTCAGTTTTAAAATGCACATATGGATAACTGAAGATATAAGAACCAATATCTAACTATATAGATACCTAAACACAGAAAGATTTTCATTGACTTCTGAAGGTCTTAAGTATGGGGGAGTTGCTTTTTTTTTTACATCACTACCATTAACAAGTGGGAGTCATTTATAAAATTCTTATGTACAAATGAGATAATCTTTTACTTTTAAATCACAGATTTCTGTTAGACACAACAGGCTGTTTTCTGTTCACTCCTATGAGAATTTAATTGTTACATTAAGTTACCATGTCTTTAGGATATTAACTCTGGCTTCACTTATATTTACTATTCCAGTGTCACTGTGCTACAAGAACCCAAATGAGTTTAAAATATGCTTACTTAAAATAATTCACTGAAAGGGAAATAACCATCAGTATGGAGCTCAAAAATACTGTTTTGTTATATCTCTGGCTAATGAATTTCTGGATTCTTTACCATACCTTGCTTTAAGAGCAAGTGATGATTCATCCATTCTTATCTACTTATATCCTAAAATGAGGCTAATAAGATTTATACCAAGTTGTATGCATTTGAAGTGGAATCCTTTTTAAGCTACCATACCACTAGAGTTTTGCTGTGTGGAGTAGTTGAGGACAATTTATAGAAATCACTTTTTTCTCAAGGAAAAGCTATTGCTTCCAAGTTGTAGTATCCATATGCACTAAACTAACACTGGCCAGCTGGCCTAGTTTGTGTGATTTGACACAGTTTTTGTCAGGGATTGGAAACTGATGCTGGGCCCTTTGGGGGGAGGGAGGGAAGTTCAGTCAAATTTCAGCACTGACAAGCCTCTGCTTGTGGTTTCACTGTACATTTATTTTTAAAGAAAAACAAAAACAAAAGCCTCAGAGACACAAGTTTGTCCAGAAAATTAAACTTGAATCTTGCTGTCATGTCTGATACCATAATCTTCTATGTAAGTTTTTTAATTAAAGTTATTTCTACATGTCTTTTGTAGTGTGAATGTGATTAAAATACTGAAACGATCCATACTATCAATTTCAAAAAAGGAACATAGCTTGGTAGTACAATTTTATTTTCAGTAGTTTGCTTTGAGAAGTTTTGTCCTTGTTTCAAAATCTTTCTTTTCCTGCCTCCCAAAACACACAAAACAAGCAAGATAGAATCCTACTTAAAAACAAAAAACTACATACCTTATATGCTGCAACCCTAGGCCCCGTACCTTATTCATTCATTCAACAAACATCAAGGGTTTACAGTAAATATACCTTAATGAAAGACAAAAAATTCACATCAACCTGAGGATAATTAAAGTTCTGCTGCTCCTGTTTTCTTTAAGTAGTCATTACAGTTAGCTAAATATTTGATTAAGCACAGTAGTTAAAAACTAAATCTTTGATCAGTGGATCACTACATCATTACCACCACGTTGAGGTGAAAGAACAAAACTATGCTGACATACTCTTGCAAGGACCTAGGTTCTTGCAAAGACCCTGGAGAGGACTTGGGAGGTCAACATCATACAAGTAATGTAAGTTGAACCCAAGTCCTAACTCCAGATGCCTGCACAGGTACCACTGTCTGTTGCCTTAACTTATGGCTCTGTGCTTTAGTTTCCGCAGCTGTAAAATGGGGACAATAACTGTTCTGCTTTCTTTAAGAATGTTAGATGAATGAAACCAGATCCAGGATGCAAGAAGTACCTGAGTGCTCTGTTAAGATCTAAGGATACTCCGAGGTCCAGGGCTAAATGAAATCATTCCTTACCCAAGCTGGCACTAGCACAGCCAAATTATAAATTTTCTACAGAAGTGGTTGATTAAAGTCATTTGAAGTAGTCCCCACTAGCTTTTTAATTGTGACTAGCTGAGGACAGTCCTCGAGAAAAACATGTCCTACTCTTGTCCTTTTGGACTCAGCCACCCAAAGGACCCTCTGAGGCCATACTTCTGAACCTCTGATATAGAGAAAGATACATGTTGGCTTCTCTCCAACAAGTATAGAACATATTTTGCTATAGGCAGGAAATAGCCTGAAATAGATGGGTTTTTTTTTAATACATATAAAAATAAACTCTTGTAAACAGTATCATCCTCAGTCGTTTTTAAGTTTAGTTCCAAAGTAGGTTACTGCGGAAAGTGAAAGAAAACAAAGAGGAATGGTTTGTGTGATCTGGTCAACTAGGAAAATTAGTAGGGTGATTAGTCACATGAAAACACGGTCAAGATAAGCAAAAGGGGAGTGGCTGGGAGAGGGAATGGGAAGGGTTTATAAAGAAACTTTAAAAGGAATCATTTCATTACACTCAAAGCATGGAGCTTGGATTTTTCTCCCAAGAAACCAAGCCCAGTCACATAAACTATATATGCAAAAAATCAACTGATGACAATACAAAAGGATAACTGTTTTTTCTAAAGAAAGCTAATGAGCAATCCAAACCTTTTTATAATGATGCATAAACATTTGAGAGTTCTCTAAGAGTAGCGGTATTACCCATTTTAGTCCTTTTTTAGTTAGCAGCTGCTGGTTTTTTTCCTTCTGTCTTTGAGATGCAATTTGGCTTTTTAACCTCAGGACAAGGCATCATAATACACTCCTTTTACAAAAATCAAGTCTTCCAGTAAAAAGTGTGTTTTTTGCCACATGAAAATTTAATTCCCAACTCTTAAAAACTTAGTAGTTGTCATATATGCACCTATTTCCATTCTCAACATATCTGTGTGTGTGTTGAAGTCAAGGAAATGAAGACTAACTGCTCAGGACAGAGATCGATGCCACCTCCACAGCAGAAACAACAGCATGATTCTTGAGCTTGTGTTCTTGTGCACCAGGTGAAAATGAGGCTGAATAAGCTGGTCTAGGAGGAGGTGGACCAGGCACGAGGAGTAAAGCTGCCCGGAAATCTCATCTGTCCAGGGAGCGTTTCTGAGCAGCTTCTGAACAAACATTTCTCAAGAGATTAATGACAGATCTGGGGTCTTCACTCCTCATGATGGCACTACCAGACACAATCATATTAGCCCCTGCCTGAAAGAGAGAGAAACACCAAGGTTAATCAACTATATAAATGAAGAGACAGAATGTAGAAAGAATTCAGAACAGCTTGTCAAGATGTCAAGAATGTTTCAAACCTCAGCATCTGACTGATGGAATTGATGTAAATACCATCTTAATTATCTGAAAAAGTCACTGTATAGAAGTTTACAGAAATCTCAAAAGTATACAGAGCTCTTCAGGATGAATATAATACTTTTTTTTCCCATTAGCACAGATAACATCTGTATCATTTATTTGGCAATCAATTATACATGGTACTATTTTGTGATTTTTTTTTTAACATGTGTTTTTAAAACTTTGGGTTGCAAATTTTCTCCCTCCCTCTCCACCCACCCTCATTGAAAAGGCAAAAATCTCAATACAGATTATAGATGTGTAGTCATGCAAAACACTTCCATAGTAGTCATGTTGTGAAAAATCTAAGGATATTTCCCTTCATACTGTCCTACTCCCCATTTATTCTATTTTTCTCTTTTGACCCTGTCCTTCCTCAGAAGTGTTTGCTTCTGATTATCCCCTCCTCCCCCAATCTGCCCTCCCCTCTATCAACCCCCTGTTCTCTTGTCCCCTTCTCCCCTTATTTTCCTGTAGGGTAAGATAGATCCCATTGTGTATGTTATTCCCTCCTTAAGACAAATCCTATGAGAATAAGATTCGCTCATTCCTTCTCACTTTCCCCCATTTCCCCTCCACTGTAAAAGCCTTTTCTTGTCTGTTTCATGTGACATAATTTACCTCATTTCTACTTCTCCCTTTCTCCTTCTTCCAGTATAATCCTCTCACCCTTTAATTTTATTTTCCAGATATCACCCCTTCATCTTCAACTCACCCTGCGCCCTCTATCTATCTATCATCTATCTATATACGTACATATAGTTTTTTCCCTCCCACTACCCTAATACTGACAAAGAACTCATGAGTTACAAATATCATCTTTCCATGCAGGAATGTAAACAGTTCAACCTTAGTAAGTCTCTTACGATTTCTCTTTCCTGTTTACTCTTCCATGTTTTACTTGAGTCTTGTATTTGAAAGCCAAATTTTATATTCAGCTCTGGTCTTTCCCTCAGGAATGCCTGAAAGTCCCCTATTTCATTGAATGACCATTTTTTACCCCAAAGGATTATACTTAGTTTTGCTAGGTAGGTGATTATTGGGTGTAATCCTATCTCCTTTGCCCTCCAGAATATCATACTCCATGCCCTCCAGTCCCTTAATGAGGAAGCTGCCAAATCTTGTCTTATCTTGATTGTGTTTCCACAATACTTGAATTGTTTCTTCCTGGCTGCCTGCAATATTTTCTCCTTGACCTGGGAATTCTGGAATTTGGCTACCATATTCCTAGGACTTTTCCTTTGGGGATCTCTTTCAGGAAGTGATCAGTGGAGTCTTTCAATTTCTATTTTGCCCTCTGGTTCTAAAATATCAGGGCAGTTTTCCTTGATAATTTCTTCAAAGATGATGACTAGGTTCTTTTTTTGATTGGGGCTTTCAGATTGTCCAATAATTTTTAAATTCTCTCTCCTGGATCTATTTTCCAGGTCAGTTGTTTTTCCAATGAGATATCTAACATTCTCTTCTATTTTTTCATTCTTTTGGATTAGTTTTACAGTGTCTTGATTTCTCATATAGTCACTAGCTTCCAATTTTTGGACTTCTTTTTCCATTTGGTCAATTTTGCTTTTTAGGGCATTCTTCTCTTCATTGGCTTTTTGGACCTCTTTTGCCATTTGGGTTAGGCTATTTTTTAAGGTGTTATTTTCTTCAGTATTTTTTTGGGTCTCCTTTAGCATCGCTCTCAGTTTTTCCTCTACTTCTCTAACTTGCTTCTCAAAATCTTTTTTGAGCTCTTCCATGGCCTGGGACCAATATTTTTCTTGGAGACTTTGGATGTAGGAGCTTTGTCTTTGTTATCTTCTTCTGGTTCTATGTTTTGATCTTCTTTGTCACCAAAGTAAGATAATATAGTCTGACTCTTTTTGCACTGCTTGCTCATGATCCCAGCCAATTAGTTGAATTATAAACTCTTTGTTAAGGTAGGGGTCTGTTTCCAGTGTGGAGAATATACTGTCCCAAGCTTCAGGGGTTTTGTGCACCTGTTTTCAGAGATACTTCTAGGGACGTGTAAATTTTCAGTTCTTCCAAGGTGCTGTGATCAAGGGTGAGGTGTTTAATCCTTTCCTGTCCTGTGCTCTGCTCTATGAGTGACCACAAACCCTCTTTTCAGTCTCTGAACTGTGAGGAGGGTTTCCTCTCCACAGCCACAACAAGCTCCACCACACCAGCACTCCTCCTCACCCCAGGACTGCCACCCAGAACTGTGGCCCAGATCCAACCATGGACAAAGCAAGAGAATCCTGCACCAGCAGAGAGATCCCTGCAGTCCCCCCTCTGATCAGCCACTCAATTCCCCCTCAGTGTGTGGGCTGGAAGCTCAGGAGGCTGCCACTACCCTGGGGCTGAGCTTGGGGAATGGGGCTGGGACCCTGCTCTTCTCTCTCACTGAAGAAACAGACTTTTCCCACTGACCTTCTAAGTTGTCTTTGACATTCATGGGTTGAGAAGTCTGGAAACCGCCACAGCTGCCCAAGATTCAGTCCTCTGAGGCCTGCTCCAGGTTCGCAGCAGCCTGTGCGCTCACGCTGAACTGCGCTCCGCTCTCAGCCCAGTGCAATATACCTTTCTGATCCACTATCCAGGCTGTCTTTGACTGGAAATTTGTTTCACTTTGTCTTTTTGTGGGTTCTGCTGCTTTAGAATTTGTTTAGAGCCATTTTTTATAGGTATTTGGAGGGGTTTGGGGGAGAGCTCAAGCAAGTCACTGTGTTTACTCCGCCATCTCAGCTCCGCCATGAATATAATACTTTTAAAGTTCTTTCAATAAATATAAAAAAAAGACATACTTGGTAAGTATGTGAATCTTATTTATATGAGAAGATATATGTGTGTGCATGTGTGTGTACCCACATATATATATATTTGAACTCTGTAACATAAAAAGTCTAGGCCATAATTTTTTCATATTTGCTAAGAAAGCACAGATTAAAAACAAAAAACAAAAAACAAACCTTTAAACCTTGATTATTTCTAATGTCTTTTACTCTATTTTGAATCATAAATTCAATTTGAAGAATCATAGGATCCAACGATGGGACCTCAGAGGCTACTTTATCTGGTAGTTAACAAACTACCTGAGCAAGAATGCCTTCAACAAAATTCTGACAAATGGTCATCATCCAGGGTTTGCTTGAAAACCTCCAGTGAAGGAGAACCCACTACTTCTTGAGACTCCTCTTTGATAAGATAATTCTTCAAATACTCAATCCTTGTCATCTCATCCCCGCTTCCCTCAGCTATTCCCCATTTTACATTATCTCAAGGTCCTTCACCATTTTGGTAGCCACCCTCTCAACAATCACCAGCGAAAATAATGTAAGTACCTACTATGTGCAAGGCTTTGTACTAGGTGCTGAGGATACATAGACAAAAACCGAAAAGGCCCCTTGTTCCTCTCAAGGTGCTTATATGTTACTAGGTGAAGCAACACGTGAACAGATGAGTAAATACAAAACATATGGGAAAGTAAATACAAAGTAATTTCTGAGGGATGTACTGGAGAAAGAAAGAAAACAATTAGGGAATTAGATAAAGCTACCTGTAGGAGGTGGTATCTAGGAACCCTGAAAACAGCTATAGGTTCCAAGAAATGGAGGTTAAAGAAGAAAGTCATTAAAGGCATGAAGACTAATAATACATAATCACTTTGGAAAGCTAGGATGGAACCATACTGAGTAGCTTTAAATGTGGAATAAGAGTTTGTATTTTATCCCAGAAGCAACAGTCAAGCTTCTTGTGCAGTGGAATGCCACAGACCTATATTTTAGGAATATCAATTAGGGAGTATTGTGGAAGATAGACAGAACAGTGTAGACTGGAGGCAGGGAGACCAATTAGAAGGCTATTACAATAGCCCAAGTAAGAGGTGATAAAGGCCTCAACTAAGAGAGTTTCTGTATTGAACACAACACTACAGAAATGGCCCAACTACAAGGAAGTTTAGCAGAATTATTGCCTCTTGTAAGTCTCTACTGTAGCCTAAGTACACATTAGGTTTTTGGGATACCATATCACACTTGAATCACATTGATTGCGCAGTCCATTAAAAGCATTTTACAGGAAATGCTATCTAACCACGCTATGACTTGCTTGTACTACTGAAGCTGATTTTTTTTAACCCAAATATAAGTACTGAATTTCATATCACTATATTTGACCAAACACCTTAGCCCTAGATCCTGACTGTCATCCTGCTCCCAGCTTTCAGTCATCCACAAATCTGTTAGGCTGTGGGGCCTTACCATTCTCTATCTTTGCCTTGGAGTGTGCCGGGGGCCTCACTTGTCCCTAACACTCCATTTCTCTCTGTCTTATCCCTTTCTAAACCTCTTCATCCAACCTAAACTTACCTAAACCTACCTCTAAAACTCTTCATCCTACCCAAGATGGACCTCTAATCCCTCCCTCAACACCTTCCTAAATCCATTTCATCTGCTCTAACTTTACCATCCTCCTTTCCCAATTTCAAACCTAAAATTAACCAATTTAACTCTAAACCACCTTCTTTCTCTTGAGTCCCTTTCCCCCCACCTATCAATGCTCACACCTTGCCACACCCCAACCCTGGGATCATTTTCCCTCCCTCTCCCTCCAACCACTCTGCTCTAATTCATTTGTTGCTGAGTAGAACTGGAAGAAATAACTTAAGCACGATGACCGAATCCACTACAAATTTAATATCCAATCTTAGTTTGTCCCTTGAGGAAAGCAACCTTTTAATTCCTCCTTAATTTATATTTTATCCAGCTTCCCAGAGGCTGTTCTAAACCTCTCAAGCCAATCACACCACCTCTCTCCACTTGCTTCCCATTTTACTGAGAAAATATTGAGATTATTCACAGAGTTCCCTCTTC